GCCCAAATATATCTTTATCAACTTTATTACCTTTCATATTTTAGTTAATATTTTAGAAAACATATAAATATATCATATAGATGTTATTGGCTAACAATAATCATCTATATTTTAACTAAAATCATAAATTGATCATTAATAATTTGAAAATTGCAGGAATATAAAGCCGTTAGAATTATTTTTTACATATTTGATACTCCATCCGTTTCATAATAAGTATCATTTGGAGTAAATGTATGTGGACAATAATTGGATGTATCTAGACAATAATAAGTATTATTTTGAGTTTAATACATCCAAATACATTGAATTCTAATTTTGCTTAAATGACACTTATTGTGAAACAGAAGGAGTATGTATGATTACCTTCTTAGATATATATAATAAAGTAATAAAATTAGAATCTTAATAAAAAAATCATGAAAGTTATATTAACTAAACACCCACGCATAGCGTGGGTTAAGAACCTAGTGCTCTACTATGAGTCATGCCATAAGTAATACGTTTTGCTAAATTTTATTTGAATTTGACTGAATCGATCTGATTCTACCTAACTCCTAAGAAACGAGCAAGAAGAATCATGAGAAGAATTAAAGCCAGCTTTGTCCTAATAAAAGCGTTAAGACTGTTATACACTGGAACCAGGGCCAGCCCTGACCTAAGGCAGGTAAAGCATGGTATTTTAGACGCCAAGAGGATATATATATATATATATATATTTAAGGGGGCCATATCTAAGAAAGTTTATAGTAGTGTAGTGGTTATGTCGCACCATTTTACCTATAAGGTAAGGTGTTCGTGCCCTCAAACATACATAATGTGTTGCTTTTTACAAAGAACACTATTTTTAGTGGCCTGAATTTTCTTTTTGCTTTAAGCGCCAAAACTACCACACTTGGTACTTAAAATTAAGTACAGTAGAAACTCTATAAATTAATAACTCGATTAATCAATATAATTTTCCAGTCCCAAACTAAGTTTTTGATTCAAATTATCTCTCAATAAATTAATAATTCACTAAATTAATAAAATATCATAATCCTAATATTATTAATTTATAGAGTTTCTACTGTAATATGGATTGTTTTTGCAGAGAATAAACAAAACTTTCATATCCAAGAGACAGATTCAGCTGCTTCTTTCATAACTAAGAGCTTACCACTGATGATGATGCTTGCTCTTCAGGCTCAGACCGGGGATTCCTATTGGATTGTCTAACTGCGCCACTTCACAAATAATAGAATAAATGTTTTAGGTAAAAGAAAGAGAAATTAACGTCCGCAGGTGCGGGCATTGGAATTCCTTATAACTTGTTTATTTACATAACTAGTACTACTTATGATAGGAAGCCTAAAACATAAAGGACTCACTTGTGTTTTAAAAGGAAAAAAAAAACTAAAATTAAAATCAAAACATAAAAACAAAAATGGAAATTAAAGTGTAACTCAATGTTGACAATTACTAGGTGGTTAGCCCGCGCCATGCGCGGGCAAGAGATATTTCAGAACTCCAATCTTTTCAATTAATATTAGATTAACACTTTTTTTTAATTAAGTTTTATATTTTGTAATGTGTTTATTTCCAAGGAAGTAATAGCTTAACATTTTGTTAATTTGATATGAACTTATAAATTGTGAAACCACAAAAAAAATTAGTTAAATTTTGTAATTGTTGTTATCTTCTCTCTCTTATTCTTTTCAATGATCTGATCTTTTCTTTTTTTCTTCCATTTTTTATTCGTTGTCATCATCTTTTTTTTGCTTCTTCTTTTTCCAATTTTTGTTCTTCAAGATTTTGAAGGATCTGATTTCATCTTGGTCTTCGATCCTCCAACTTACTATTCTTCTTTTCTTTCTAATTTTCTTTACATTCTTTTTCCGGTTTATCTTCTTCCTCATTCCCCTTCTCTCTATCTTTATCATCTTCGTCTTCTCTGACATCATCTTATTCTAGTTTTTATTTATCTCTTATTTTCTTTTTTCTCTTCACATTTCATTTTTTCTTCTTTGTTTTCTTTTTCCTCTTCGAGTTTTCTTCTTCTTCTCGAAGTTTCTCATCTTCTTATCCACCATCTTCTTTTATTCTACTCGTGTTTTTATTCCTTCTTGTCTACGTCTTATATTTCACTTATCAATTCATTCGATAGTTTAGATTTTCAAGGATTCGTGAAATAGTTTTTAACTTTATATAGTCGAGATGTTTTAAAAATCTATTTAATTTGTGTTGTTATCTTTTGATTATGGATTTGCTTTAATTGTTTTAGTTTTTTTTCTATTTGGTACTGTGTTTTAGAATGGTAGATATAAATTTATAATCAGTGATTTTAATTTTGATATACTCTATAATAATTATATTTTTTAAAATGCACCAAAACCTAAACCCTACACCGATCAATATAAACCCTAAACCCAAACCCCAATTATAAACCTCCCCCCTCCCCCTGATTAAAGAACCTACACCCTAAACACAAATCCACATTATAACTCCCCCCTAAACCACAAACCTCACATTACAAATTAGTTACTGATTTGCTTTTATTTTTATTTTATTTATAAAAGTTTTTTTTTAATTGTTGTTTTCTTATCCCTTTTTATTCTTCTCTAGTGATCTCATATTCTTCTTTTTTCTTCCATTTTTTTATTCGTTGTCATCATCTACTTTTTTTAAGCTTCTTAGTCATCTTCCAATTTTTATTTTTCAATCGTTTCTTGTGTCTTCATATTCTCCAACTCACTATTCTTCTTTTTCTTTCTAATTTTCTTTACATTCTATTTCCGATTTTTCTTCTTCCTCATTCCCCCTCTCTCTCTATCTTTATCATCTCGTCTTCTCTGACATCATCTTATTATAGTTTTTATTTATCTCTTCTTTGTCTTTTTTTTTCTTCACATTCCATTTTTTCTTCTTTGATTTCTTTTTCCTCGTGTTCAAGTTTTCTTCTTCCTCTCGAAGTTTCCCATCTTATCGTCTTCTTTTCTCTTACTCATGTTTTTCGTTCTTGTCTACATTTTGTATTTCACTTATCAATTCCTTTGATAGTCTAGATTTTGTTAATTCTCAAATTCAATTAATATTAGATTAACATATTTTCTTTTTAATTACTTTTCATATTTTTGTAATGTGTTTATTTTCCAAAAGTAATAGCTTACATTTTGTTAATTTGATATGAACTTATAAATGTGAAAGCACAAAAAAAAGTTAAATTTTGTAATGTTGTTTTCTTCTCCCTCTTATTCTTTTTCACTGATCCATCTTTTTTTTTCTTCCATTTTTTTATTCGTTGTCATCATCTTTTTTTTGCTTCTTCTTTTTCCAATTTTTGTTCTTCAATCCTTTCTTGTGTCTTCATATCCTCCAACTTACTATTCTTCTTTTTCTTTCTAATTTTCTTTAATTCTTTTTCCGGTTTTCTTCTTCCTCATTCCCCTTCTCTATCTTTATCATTTGTCTTCTTGACATCATCTTATTCTAGTTTTTATTTATCTCTTATTTGTCTTTTTCTCTTACATTTCATTTTTTCTTTTTGTTTTTTTTCCTCTTCAGTTTCTTCTTCTTCTCGAAGTTTCTCATCTTCTTATCCACCATCTTCTTTTATTCTACTCGTGTTTTTATTCCTTCTTGTCTACGTCTTATATTTCACTTATCAATTCATTGATAGTTTAGATTTTCAAGGATTTATGAAATAATTTTTATCTTTATATAGTCGAGATCTTTTAAAAATCTATTTAATTTGTGTTGTTATCTTTTGATTATGGATTTGCTTTAATTTTTTAATTTTTTTCTATTTATGAGTGTATTTTAGAATGGTAGATATAAATTTATAATCAGTGATTTTAATTTTGATATACTTCTATAATAATTCAAATTTTTAAATGCACCAAAACTAAACCCTACACCCATCAATATAAACTCTAAACCCTAAACCCAAATCCCAAATTATAAACCCCCTCCCCCCAATTAAAGAACCTACACCCTAAACCCAAATCTACATTATAACTCCCCCTAAACCGCACACATAACCTCACATTAAAAATTAGTTCTTGATTTGCTTTTATTTTTATTTTATTATATTATATATTTTTTTTAATGGTTGTTTTCTTATCCCTTTTATTCTTCTCTACTGATCTCATCTTCTTCATTTTCTTCCATTTTTTTTTTATTTCTTGTCATCATCTTCTTTCTTCTGCTTCTTCTTCATCGGGAATTAGCTCATTTTATTCCTCAACTATTTGCAATGAGAACTTTTATTCCTCAACTATCACTTGCTCACCTTAATTCCTCAAGTGTAAGTTGACTGCGCAACTTATGATTAAAAAGTCAAACTTTTAATAATAAACATACAATATTAAATAAATTAATAAATTCATCATAATTTTCATTGTTAAACATAAAAAAAAAATCTATGAATCTTTTTGATGGTTTTTAATAAAATTAAAATTAAAATTTGGATAGATTATTTGATAGAAATCTTAAAATTATGATCATATTTAATCCTCGGAATCCACCAGATTCAAACTAAAGATCAATAAAAACACAAAAAATTATCTTAAATTATTTATTTAGAATTTTTTAGGGTATAATGGTGAAAATGATGCATTTACAAATTTATTTAACATTTTATGTCTATTACACAAAGATTAGTTTTTATTTTCGAAAGTTTGACTTTTTAATCATAATTTTGTGCAGTCAACTCACATTTGAGGAATTAAAGTGAGCAAGTGATAGTTGAGGAATAAAAATTCTCATTGCAAATAGTTGAGGAAGAAAATGAGCTAATTTCCCTTCTTCATCTTCCAATTTTTTTTATTCAATCATTTCTTGTGTCTCTATATGCTCCAACGTATTATTCTTCTTTTTCTTTGTATTTTTTTAAACATTTTAGTTCTGATTTTTCTTCTTCCTCATTTCCCCTCTCTCTATCTTTATCATCTGACATCATGGAGCTACGAAGCGTAATTTTTCATTTAAGGAGCTACGAAGTGACAAAAATTCTGAATCAGATGCTGAGGATGATATGGATGACGAGGAAGTGGCAGAAGACTGAGACCCGAAGAAGGAAAAACGAAAATGGCGAACCAGTATCGGGGAAGAAGAAAGGAAAACGTATAGAATCAGATTCAGAGAGTGACAATGATGCAGGAGATGTAGTTTTTTAGACGATTTTTAGTTCAACTTTCGAAGATGGTAAACGTGAATAAGCATGCTGATGTTTATGGTCTGTGGAAAGCTTAGATGGAGTAGTTAGTTAACGTGTAAAACATATTGTGTAATGTGAACAAACTATCTGGCTTTACTCTTCGCAGAGATCAAAGAAGTAAAGAAAAAGAAAGATATATCAAAAGAGCTTGAGGGTATTGATACAAGCAACATTGTATCGAGTACAAGCTTTATTCCTCCAATGCCAAAGATAACAAGCGAGAGTGAGAGTGATGAAGAAGAAGAGTCTGCGAATGGAGAGGATAACGATGAAGAAGAAGAAGAAGAAGAAGAAGAAGAAGAAGAAGAAGAAGAAGAAGAAGGTAATGAAGAAGCTGAGGAAGGAAGCCAAAGCGAAGAAGAATCAAACAATGCTGAGAAATGAATCTCTATCTCTGCTCTAAGTGACCCCATCAAGGTTTTTAATAAAACTAATGATCGTTGGCTTTGTTTGCAGATGATGATGATGATGATGGTACAGAGGAAAGGGAATGATTTGTATGTAACAGTGTCATATCGTAAGAATTCTATCATCCATTTTAGCTTGGTTTAGTATTAGCTGTACTTGAGTAGTGACATTTTGTTCCTTTTTCTCCACTCTTTAACTATCATTATGGTTATGTGGAATGGAATTTGAAACCCAAGATGGATATAGAAAAGGATAAACTAAAGTTTAGGATGCATATTCTAAGCATATCAACCAGCTAATATCATATCAAGCTGTAAATTACAATGATTAGTGAGATTCCTAGATTCTATTACATCTAGAGGAATCATATTCTGAATCACTGAATGATCTTTAAACCCATCCACGATCAGAATATGCCATAAGTTTCTGAGACCAAAATATTTTTGTTCAATCTCTTTTTCCTTTGTCATGGCTGGAGACGATGTTGATGATGTTAACTCCAGTGGTGTGACGGGTTCCGGTGGAGCTCGAGATGGTGTGACAGGTTCCGGAGACCAACTACCAAGCGGTCCAACAGGTGTTCTACCAAGAGCCGAGATGCCAAATCCAGAAGAAAATCTGAAGGTTTACTCACCGTACGAGCTTGCACCATCAGAAAATCCTGGAACGGCGATCTCACCAGTGTTGTTAAACGGAGAAAACTATGCCGAGTGGGCATCGGAGTTGGAGAATGCTCTCCGAGATAAACGTAAATCCGGTTTTATCAATGGAACTCTTTCAAGACCAATTGATAAACCGAGAGAACTGGAGGCATGGAATACGGTGAATTCCATGATAGTAGGGTGGATAAGAGCTTCCATCTCTCCTAAAATCAGATCTACTGTTACATTCACTTCCGATGCACACAAGTTGTGGATCGACCTTATGACACGGTTTTCTGTCGGCAACGGAGTCCGTGTTCATCAGCTCAAGTCTGAGCTTGCCTCTTGCAGACAAGAAGGCATGAGTGTTATGGATTACTTTGGTAAGCTGTCGTCAAAGTGGGAGGAGCTTCTTAATTACAAGCCTCTTCCTCATTGTACCTGCTCGTGGAATGCAAAGTTTATGCAAGACTATGAAGAGGAACGTGTTCATCAATTCCTTATGGGATTAGATGAATCTAGATTTGGGAACGTGGTCACCAATATCATTGGAACTGAACCACTTCCTGAACTTAATAGTGTGTACCAGAAGGTTGTTCAAGAAGAAAGACGGTTGAACTCGTCTCGAGGAGAGGTCAAGCAAGAAGCTGTCGGGTTCATGACTGTTAAAACAGAGCAGCCACAGACAATCCGGGCGGTATTGCAGTAGTGGCGCGAGCGAGGTCTACGGTAGTGTGTTCTCATTGTGGTCGCAGTGGACATGAAAAGAAAGATTGTTGGCAAATAGTGGGTTTTCCCGAATGGTAGGTTGAGAAAAACCAGAATGGCTCTCAAGGAGATCGTGGTGGTCGTGGTAACAGTTCGAGAGGCAGAGGAGGATTCTCACCTGGTCGTGGAAGAGGAGGATTCTCACAGCAACAATTCAGATCAAATGCTGCTCAGGCTTCTTCGCCTTCACTGGCGAGCTCGCTTCCCTCATTCACAGCAGATCAATGGGCAGCCTTGTCACAGTTGATCGACCAGCAGAAACCAACGACTGTACCCGATCGCTTGAATGGAAATAACCAAACAGGTGAAGTCATACTTGATACAGGTGCCTCACATCACATGACGGGTGATGCGAGCATACTCACCTGATAGACCCCTGATTGAAGATCGGCACTTTGAAGCAAGTAAGGATAGAGATGGAGTGATGGAATGGTCGGACTTGTGGAATTGATGGAATGAATAGATGGAATGGATTGAATGGAAGGAATGGATGAGTGGAGTGAATGGAATGAATGGCTTATACCAGAGATCTGATGGAAAGAGATCTCCAACGCCACCTTCTATCTTGTTGATATAACACACAACAATCTAAAAGGGATTTCTTAGATATAACACACTAAGAGAGGTTGCCTTAGATACAACACACTAAGAGAGACTTTGATCAAACAAAGAGAAAAGGTTTTCATTCAAAAGTAGGTTAAAGAGAAAAGGAAATTCGTCCAGAACATATAAAGGGAGAGAAGAGGAGAAGAAGAGAGATGAGTCAATGGAACAGACTCCATGACCATCTTGGAAACACACAAACATTAAAGACAAAGTTTGAATAAAAAAGAGACCCTGGGCGGCAAGACTTAGAGTTGAAGAAGGGAAATGGGCCTTGGTCTTGATCAGCTAAATGGGTTATTTGTATGTGACCCATTTGCCTCATTAAAAACCTTGTCAAGAAAACCCATTGGGACAAAACTTGACAAGGGAAAAAGAGTACAAATGAGACACATGCCCATTTGCTGATCTCTTGAGCTTGGATCAAAAAACCAGGGAGGTTTAGGATCATGTCTTCTCCATCTTGGCTCAAGATTAACTCCAGAATGAGTAACCAGTTCCATTGCGCAGCTAAAGGCTTCTTCTCGGCTGCAAGCTCCTAGTTGGCAACAAGTTTGTCCATGACATCAAGTTTCTCCTCAACCTCAAGCTTTATGTCTTTAATTCCATCAGGTTCCAGCTCCACATGTTTAGCTCCATCAGGTTCAAGCTCAGCTTCAAGTTCCATGTCTCCAGTGCTGGGCATGATCATATCATCCCCTCCCTCTTGAAAAAGTTTTGTCCTCAAAACTAGTTGACCTTGGGTTTTCTTCTTTGGATATCGCAGATAAGAGTCTGGTGGTTTCTCTGGAATTGGATTGGAACATGTGAGCCACTCCTCTTGATTTTGGTTCAGTTTGTCCTCGCCTTTGGTAAATAGAGAACTCAAAGAAAGAACCATAGGTGCACAGGAAATGAGATGAACGTGAGATGAGAAGTGTTGTTCTTTGATGCTGCTTCTTCCAATTCCTTATGCTTCTCCATAAAACCTGATCTTTTGTTGACACTCAAGGAAAAGAACAAGTGCATTATACTTGAAATGGGAATTTCAAAAACAAAATTCTGAAGTTTCTGATGTATCATGAAATGATCCCAATAGTAAGTCAAGTATTGAACTTCACTTACATGTGTGTTATGCAAAATGCTCATTAGTGAATCAGCTGCGGCAATTGGCTCAAGAACATGCTGCTCATACTCCTTCTTGGTATGACAAGTTAATGCTTTGTGAGCTTCTAGGCGCCTCTCTTGCTCAGCTGTACCTTTCTCAACTTCTTTAAACCAAGACAAGTGCATTAAGACAGTTAAAAAGACAGGATGAATGTGTTGGTTTAAGATTTCACTTAGCTTAGCAGTAGACATGGCTTGACTGTATCCTTGTTCTGTTTTTGACTTCCACTTGTTGTTCGGTTCTGGATTGAACTCATGGTCTAACTCATCATTAGGTGCTTTCTCAACAGAAATTGTGATTTCACTTCTGATCTTTTTGTTGGAGAGCTTAAGATTCAAACCTATTCTTCCTGCAACATTAGAAAACTCATGAGTTTTACTAATTGAAAAAGGTTGTAGACACTTACCTGGGTCAGGCTGAATGTGTGGTTCCGCCCTAAACTCTGTCAACATGAAGCATGTAGTGCTTAGTCCTTGTAGTTGTTGATCTGGTGGTTTAGACTTTGGTGCAATCTGGTCGGATTGAGCTTCTTTTTCTAGATCTGCTTGCTTCCATTGTTCTTCACTAGACCCTGTATCTGTCTCAACACTTTTGGAGAAAAGCAAGTGCATCATACAACTCATGGAATCATTATAAACAATTTGAGGGAGTCTAGCATGTACCTTATCATTGCTAGGGACTTGAACAATTTCTTGCAAATCACAGGAAGAGGTTTGAACAGATTCACCTTTGGTACCTTGATACAAATTGCTCAATGTTTTGTTTGGCTGCTTAGGTTTTGGCTCTCCATGGTCTTCAGCTTCTTGATTAGGTTCAAGCTCAGGCCCTAGCTCTTGGTCATTGGCGCTAGAATGCTTCTGAGACTTAAGCCCAAGTTTCTTGACCATGGTCTCACTTGCCACGTTTGTATAGTTGCCTCCATGAGTGATCAGACTACAGGCTTCATCTTGAACAGGGCATGTCAAATAAAATAGATTCTCTCTTTGCTCCTCTTCCTCTGTTTGGTCTTGAGCACTGAGAAGTGTTCTTGTCACAGGGAGCTTACCAAGAACTGGTACTGCTTCATACTCCTCTGTGTCCTTAACAGTCTTGGGCGTAGGCTCTTCCTCAGATTCAATCTCGCCATTGTCGCTGATGATCATAACTCTGCGGTTGGAACATTCAGTAGCATAGTGACCAAACCCTTGACACTTGAAACACTTGACCTCACGAGCCCTGGTAGTAGGAGTCACCTCTGTCTTAAGCTTTCCTGTATCTTGATAGGTTGATGGTTTTGGTTCAGACTAAGGAGTGAAGACTGGCTTGCTATCTCTTGAATACTCCTGTCTGAGAGAGCTGGAACCAAAACGTGAGGAACCTTTCCTGTTGAGCTGTTGTTCGGCAAGAACAGCCTTGTGCAGCATAGCTTCCAAGCCTACACAATTTTGCATCTCCACAACATCTTGTATTTCGCGGTTGAGCCCTCCAAGGAACCTGGACATAGTGGCTTCTCTGTCCTCAATCACATTAGCTCTCAACATCATAACCTCCATCTCCTGGAAGTATTCTTCAACGGTTTTGGATTCTTGAGTGAGCTTCCTGAGTTTAGAGTGCAGCTCACGCTGATAGTGAATGGGAACGAACCGCTGCCTCATAACCCTTTTCATTTCTCCCCAAGTAGAGATCTCATAAGCTCCACTATAAGCTCGTGCCGTCTCAACCTGTTTCCACCAACTTAGAGCATAATACTTGAACTCCATAGCTGCTAGTTTTACTCGGTTGATGTCAGCTATGTTATGTCGGTTGAAGGTAATCTCGCACTTCCTCTCCCAATCCAGATATACATCCGGATCATTGTTCCCATGGAATGGCGGAATCATCATGTAACCACTAAGATCCTCAATCGGCTTCTTCTTAGATGTGACCGGATCCTTAGGTTGCTTCCGCTTTCCTTCTTTAATCTTTTCTCTCCGATCAAACTCCTCAATCATCATCTTCTTGATCTGTTCAAGCATGGCTTCGTTGAGGCTTGATGGTGATTCTCGGCTTGTTTCCTCTTCTTCTTCTTCTGAGGCCATAGCACCTGAAAATTGCAAACAAAAATCTCGGCAGTCACTAGTTCACAGAAACAAGCAAACAATTCCGAAAAATTATGTAAACAATTTTAAAAAATTATGAAATAAATTCTAAAATACAGATAAGGTGCTAATGAACCAGATATGATGCCAGAATGCTCAAAAAAATTACGAAAATAATTCCAGCAACTAGATCTATGATGATCAAGAACAGAAGATGAACAGTCAGATTCAAAATGCTTAAAATGATGAATCAAGGGTGGAACATGCAACAGGGTGGTTGATATGCTGATGGTAACAAGTGAAATGATCAAAGGAACAATGGTGATGAATAGATCTACGATTTTCAGAATGGGAAGATGAACAGACACTCATGACAAAGATGCATAAATAGAGATTTTGACAAACAAAATGATGAACACTTAGCTTCAAAGTGGCTCTGATACCACTTGATAGACCCCTGATTGAAGATCGGCACTTTGAAGCAAGTAAGGATAGAGATGGAGTGATGGAATGGTCGGACTTGTGGAATTGATGGAATGAATAGATGGAATGGATTGAATGGAAGGAATGGATGAGTGGAGTGAATGGAATGAATGGCTTATACCAGAGATCTGATGGAAAGAGATCTCCAACGCCACCTTCTATCTTGTTGATATAACACACAACAATCTAAAAGGGATTTCTTAGATATAACACACTAAGAGAGGTTGCCTTACATACAACACACTAAGAGAGACTTTGATCAAACAAAGAGAAAAGGTTTTCATTCAAAAGTAGGTTAAAGAGAAAAGGAAATTCGTCCAGAACATATAAAGGGAGAGAAGAGAAGAGAGAAGAAGAGAGATGAGTCAATGGAACAGACTCCATGACCATCTTGGAAACACACAAACATTAAAGACAAAGTTTGAATAAAAAAGAGACCCTGGGCGGCAAGACTTAGAGTTGAAGAAGGGAAATGGGCCTTGGTCTTGATCAGCTAAATGGGTTATTTGTATGTGACCCATTTGCCTCATTAAAAACCTTGTCAAGAAAACCCATTGGGACAAAACTTGACAAGGGAAAAAGAGTACAAATGAGACACATGCCCATTTGCTGATCTCTTGAGCTTGGATCAAAAACCAGGGAGGTTTAGGATCATGTCTTCTCCATCTTGGCTCAAGATTAACTCCAGAATGAGTAACCAGTTCCATTGCGCAGCTAAAGGCTTCTTCTCGGCTGCAAGCTCCTAGTTGGCAACAAGTTTGTCCATGACATCAAGTTTCTCCTCAACCTCAAGCTTTATGTCTTTAATTCCATCAGGTTCCAGCTCCACATGTTTAGCTCCATCAGGTTCAAGCTCAGCTTCAAGTTCCATGTCTCCAGTGCTGGGCATGATCATATCATCCCCTCCCTCTTGAAAAAGTTTTGTCCTCAAAACTAGTTGACCTTGGGTTTTCTTCTTTGGATATCGCAGATAAGAGTCTGGTGGTTTCTCTGGAATTGGATTGGAACATGTGAGCCACTCCTCTTGATTTTGGTTCAGTTTGTCCTCGCCTTTGGTAAATAGAGAACTCAAAGAAAGAACCATAGGTGCACAGGAAATGAGATGAACGTGAGATGAGGAAGTGTTGTTCTTTGATGCTGCTTCTTCCAATTCCTTATGCTTCTCCATAAAACCTGATCTTTTGTTGACACTCAAGGAAAAGAACAAGTGCATTATACTTGAAATGGGAATTTCAAAAACAAAATTCTGAAGTTTCTGATGTATCATGAAATGATCCCAATAGTAAGTCAAGTATTGAACTTCACTTACATGTGTGTTATGCAAAATGCTCATTAGTGAATCAGCTGCGGCAATTGGCTCAAGAACATGCTGCTCATACTCCTTCTTGGTATGACAAGTTAATGCTTTGTGAGCTTCTAGGCGCCTCTCTTGCTCAGCTGTACCTTTCTCAACTTCTTTAAACCAAGACAAGTGCATTAAGACAGTTAAAAAGACAGGATGAATGTGTTGGTTTAAGATTTCACTTAGCTTAGCAGTAGACATGGCTTGACTGTATCCTTGTTCTGTTTTTGACTTCCACTTGTTGTTCGGTTCTGGATTGAACTCATGGTCTAACTCATCATTAGGTGCTTTCTCAACAGAAATTGTGATTTCACTTCTGATCTTTTTGTTGGAGAGCTTAAGATTCAAACCTATTCTTCCTGCAACATTAGAAAACTCATGAGTTTTACTAATTGAAAAAGGTTGTAGACACTTACCTGGGTCAGGCTGAATGTGTGGTTCCGCCCTAAACTCTGTCAACATGAAGCATGTAGTGCTTAGTCCTTGTAGTTGTTGATCTGGTGGTTTAGACTTTGGTGCAATCTGGTCGGATTGAGCTTCTTTTTCTAGATCTGCTTGCTTCCATTGTTCTTCACTAGACCCTGTATCTGTCTCAACACTTTTGGAGAAAAGCAAGTGCATCATACAACTCATGGAATCATTATAAACAATTTGAGGGAGTCTAGCATGTACCTTATCATTGCTAGGGACTTGAACAATTTCTTGCAAATCACAGGAAGAGGTTTGAACAGATTCACCTTTGGTACCTTGATACAAATTGCTCAATGTTTTGTTTGGCTGCTTAGGTTTTGGCTCTCCATGGTCTTCAGCTTCTTGATTAGGTTCAAGCTCAGGCCCTAGCTCTTGGTCATTGGCGCTAGAATGCTTCTGAGACTTAAGCCCAAGTTTCTTGACCATGGTCTCACTTGCCACGTTTGTATAGTTGCCTCCATGAGTGATCAGACTACAGGCTTCATCTTGAACAGGGCATGTCAAATAAAATAGATTCTCTCTTTGCTCCTCTTCCTCTGTTTGGTCTTGAGCACTGAGAAGTGTTCTTGTCACAGGGAGCTTACCAAGAACTGGTACTGCTTCATACTCCTCTGTGTCCTGAACAGTCTTGGGCGTAGGCTCTTCCTCAGATTCAATCTCGCCATTGTCTCTGATGATCATAACTCTGCGGTTGGTACATTCAGTAGCATAGTGACCAAACCCTTGACACTTGAAACACTTGACCTCACGAGCCCTGGTAGTAGGAGTCACCTCTGTCTTAAGCTTTCCTGTATCTTGATAGGTTGATGGTTTTGGTTCAGACTAAGGAGTGAAGACTGGCTTGCTATCTCTTGAATACTCCTGTCTGAGAGAGCTGGAACCAAAACGTGAGGAACCTTTCCTGTTGAGCTGTTGTTCGGCAAGAACAGCCTTGTGCAGCATAGCTTCCAAGCCTACACAATTTTGCATCTCCACAACATCTTGTATTTCGCGGTTGAGCCCTCCAAGGAACCTGGACATAGTGGCTTCTCTGTCCTCAATCACATTAGCTCTCAACATCATAACCTCCATCTCCTGGAAGTATTCTTCAACGGTTTTGGATCCTTGAGTGAGCTTCCTGAGTTTAGAGTGCAGCTCA